TATCAAGCTAAAAATATAGAATGAATGGACTTTGGCAGCTTTACTATGCTTAGATGCTATGCAGATTGAGATTGTAATGTGCATCAGGTACTCAGTGTCTGGCAAATGAAACATGCGATCATTCCATTGCTACTGGAGGAGAAAGCTTGGATCACTAAATCCACTTTATGTTGATTTTGAAGTTAATCATTACTGTATTTCTTGAAAAAAGGATTGTTATAAAATTGTCAATGTGACAATCCATGCAACAATGTGATCATATAATGTGTTCATAGTCATTTGTGATAGTGATTGTTGGTCCAATATACAATGGCAAAGCTCTCAGTCTCAGCGTTTCTTTCTGTGGATGGCCAGCAGTGACTCAGAGCTTAGAAGTATTAGTTTTCTTCACAGGGCTGGGATAAAAAGTACTGAGGGTAATCTTCCACCAAGGAACAGATCTACTTTTACATGGTATGAGATGTAGGCACAAGTAGGTAGGTGCTTAGTTCCTATAGTCAGCAGTTGTGTAGGTTTAGTCGGGTTAGCTTAGATCAAGATTCAGCTTAGATTAGGTTATGTTAGTTTTTTAATTTGCCAAGTGTCCATAAAAATGTGACCTGAGCAATGAGCATACCTGAATAACCCGACAGCTGACCTAACCTCAATCATCACACATATTTGCAGCCTACCCAAGACCTGCATAGCAGTAGCACCCAGTTATAGGTAGGTACTCACCCTAACTCAATCTTACCTGCTAACCTTCAACTTGCCAATAGTTAGCTCACCTTGCCAAGCTGCATCCAGGGAAACAGTCAACTGAGGAACTGGCTCATTGGGTGACTGGTGAGTCTGTGCATTTAAAGTGTTTCTTCTCTGAAGCTGCTCTGCACTGCTGTATGTCATGTTAGATGCTCAGAAAATGTGGGAAATCTATATTACTATTTAAACAGGATCCATCTGTCTGTCTGTCTGTTTGTCCGCCACGACGTGCAGTAGGTTCAATTTAGCCGGCCTACAGGGCAGACGGTATATCGTAGGGGGTTGAAATTTGCACACCTTATAGGTGACAGAGCGTGTCAGCGCCTTTTCTAGGTTTCGGCTCGCTGGGGTGCACGGTTCGCGCGTGGGGCGCGCCGGAAGAACGCCAATGGAATTTTGATCGGTTCGTAGATCTTCATTGAGAGCCGGGGTCGACAAACTTTGTGGACTAAATGCATGCCGATCGGTGGCGAGTGCCTCGCATTGGCGGATGGTGAAATTATTGATTTTAATAAATGGTGGCGAAAATATGTGTTGATTTGATTGCAATGATTTGATTGTTTGGATGCACCGCGTTTGCCGCAAGGCGTCACATTGGTCACAACGCGCCATGTTTGCCGCCAATCGCACAGTTTTGTCAAATATAGTCCGATATGGGTGCAATTTGGTGCCAGGGTGCATGCTCAACCAACAGCTTCAGATACGTTTGCCGCAATGCGTCACATTTGTCTCTGGGCGGTGTGTTTGTCCCACGACTGCCGTTGCACTCGCCCGAGGACGCCTTCCCACTCTTCTGCAAGCGGTGTCAGTTCCCTGGCCGCCCGGCCTTTGCCCTCATAAGGCGCGGGGTCAGCCCCTCGGCAGGGTGTCTGTGTTCCCTCACCTTCAGTCACGGCCAGCTCTACGTGGTGGCCTCGCGCGTCGGACGGTCAGATGACCTGCGCTTCGCCCTCCCCGCCTGCAGCCACGGCGTGACTCGCAACGTGGTTTACACTCAGGTAGGTACCGCTAAACGTGCCCACGATGGCGATGACGACGAAGAACCACAGTAAACTACAAAACTGTTTAGCAGGCAGAATAGCATGCTTCAATTGATGCTTCACAGTACATGAGCATCTTCGCACTTATTCAAGTTTAAACAAAAGTACTTTCTAAACAAGTATGTCACTCCTCAGACCCGCCGGGGGACTGGAGCCAAGAAGGTCTTATACATTCTGTCAGTGCGATGAAATCTTCCCGGCTCCATTACACTGACACCAGCTTACAAGTGTTCATGTCTATTATGTATTGTTAATAAAAGTCATTCCCGTTGTTGTGTTTGCGACTCCAGACATCTTGGCTCTTTGGCTGCACACGTAAGTACCTCCCTTACCTTTGATTCCATATTAAGATAGTCTCCCACGTTGTTTTTGGTACCGGGTTCACATAAACCGGTTTAACGTAACACACTTTCTCCCCGGCAAAAATTGCCGGAGTAACTGCCCCCTGCTCAGGAATGGCACCAGGCCGACAGAGCAAAAAAAAAAAACGGTTTTGAGTTACAGTACCTATGCATTCAGGCGGTACTATGCTGCGGACGCGGCATTGCGGTACAGCGTGCATTCAGGCGTTTGACGCTTCTGCCATCTAGCGAGTGAAATTGAATGTTTGGGCTGCTATTCCAGCCGCGGTTATCCCTAAGATAGGCTCCCACATTGTTTTTGGTACCGGGTTCACATAAACCGGTTTAACGCAAGACTTCCTCCCCGGCAAAAATTGCCGGAGTAACTGCCCCCTGCCCAGGAATAGGTAGCACTAGGCCGACTGAGCCAAAAAAACGACATTGGGTTACAGTACCTATGCATTCAGGCGGTACTATGCTGCGGACGCGGCATTGCGGTACAGCGTGCATTCAGGCGTTTGACGCTTCTGCCATCTAGCGAGTGAAATTGAGTGTTTGGGTTGCTATTCCAGCCGCGGTTATCCCACTACTTGCTTTGCTTGCCAATGACCTTCGAAAACAGAATTTCGTCGGTGGAATGTAATGTGACACTGTAAGAACGGAACACATATCTGAGAAAAATGAAGTTTAATCAATACAGGTGCCTTAGATTGCTGATAGTAGACTCCGTTTCAATAGATCGGCTCACCGCATTTGTGTATCGCTGTGGAGCACATTAATGACGCCCATTTGTTTATTATTCAGGGTTCCAGCACCTCTGCCGACGCATGCGTCTCGGCCGTCGCCGCCGTAGACCCCGGCGAGGGCACCAGTGGGCCGCCGGTGATCGCCGTTTCGAGGAAAGCTGACCCGTCATCGGTGAGTATACAGGGAAAGGAGAATATTTTACCGATGTATTATGAAAACCGATCCATTTTGAACACAATAAATTGAATGCGAACCACCAAAAGATATATGATTTGCAATGCATTTGATGCCCGTTTCTCTAACAAACAAGCCGAACGTATCACGGCAAATTTTAGCATTAAACTTTGCAATATATATGCCAACATTTTTATTCAATACCGGTGCCCTTGGTTGCATCCATTGACGCCAACCATGCTGTTCGCCGTACAGGGACTCGGCACCGCTTCGCCCATTGAGGGGACCAGCGGCCTGCCGCTGCCGCCACCGGCGATCTTTGGAGATGCTGGCCCGTCATCGGTAAGTATATTTAACCATGCATTACATCATCAGTTATTGCCTTAGATTGCTGATAGTAGACTCCGTTTCAATAGATCGGCTCACCGCATTTGTGTATCGCTGTGGAGCACATTAATGACACCCATTTGTTCATTATTCAGGGTTCCAGCACCTCTGCCGACGCATGCGTCTCGGCCGTCGCCGCCGTAGACCCCGGCGAGGGCACCAGTGGGCCGCCGGTGATCGCCGTTTCGAGGAGAGCTGACCCGTCATCGGTGAGTATACAGGGAAAGGAGAATATTTTACCGATGTCTTATGAAAACCGATCCATTTTGAACACATTAAATTTAATACGTCCCACCAAAAATATATGATTTGCAATGCATTTGATGCCCGTTTCTCTAACAAACAAGCCGAACGTATCACGGCAATTTTTAGCATTAAACTTTGCAATATATATGCCAACATTTTTATTCAATACCGGTGCCCTTGGTTGCATCCATTGACGCCAACCATACTGTGCGCCGTACAGGGACTCGGCACCGCTCCGCTCATTGAGGGGACCAGCGGCCTGCCGCTGCCGCCACCGGCGATCTTTGGAGCTGCTGGCCCGTCATCGGTAAGTACATTGAACCATGCTTTACATCATCATTTATCGAATTATCATTAATTTAATTCAATCCTATAATTTGTTTACTTTATGGGCTGCATCAACCCCCTGCGCTGGCGATGTTGAACTCTGCAACACATTTGCAATCATTTTTAATCAATACAGGTGCCTTAGATTGCTGATAGTAGACTCCGTTTCAATAGATCGGCTCTCCGCATTTGTGTATCGCTGTGGAGCACATTAATGACGCCCATTTGTTTATTATTCAGGGATCCAGCACCTCTGCCGACGCATGCGTCTCGGCCGTCGCCGCCGTAGACCCCGGCGAGGGCACCAGTGGGCCGCCGGTGATCGCCGTTTCGAGGAGAGCTGACCCGTCATCGGTGAGTATACAGGGAAAGGAGAATATTTTACCGATGTCTTATGGAAACCGATCCATTTTGAATACATTTAATTTAATACGTACCACCAAAAAATATATGATTTGCAATGCACTTGATGCCCGTTTCTCTGACAAATAAGCCGAACGTATTGCGGCAAATTTTAGCATTAAACTTTGCAATATATATGCCAACATTTTTATTCAATACCGGTGCCCTTGGTTGCATCCACTGACGCCAACCATACTGTGCGCCGTACCTACAGGGACTCGGCACCGCTCCGCCCATTGAGGGGACCAGCGGCCTGCCGCCGCCGCCACCGGCGATCTTTGGAGCTGCTGTCCCGTCATCGGTAAGTACATTTAACCATGCATTACATCAACATTTATTGAATTATCATTAATTTAATTCAATCCTATAATTTGTTTACTTTATGGGTTGCATCAACCCTCTGCGCCGGCGATGTTGAACTCTGCAACACATTTGCAATCATTTTTAATCAATACAGGTGCCTTAGATTGCTGATAGTAGACTCCGTTTCAATAGATCGGCTCACCGCATTTGTGTATCGCTGTGGAGCACATTAATGACGCCCATTTGTTTATCATTCAGGGTTCCAGCACCTCTGCCGACGCATGTGTCTCGGCCGCCGCCGCCGTAGACCCCGGCGAGGGCACCAGTGGGCCGCCGGTGATCGCCGTTTCGAGGAGAGCTGACCCGTCATCGGTGAGTATACAGGGAAAGGAGAATATTTTACCGATGTATTATGAAAACCGATCCATTTTGGACACATTAAATTGAATGCGTACCACCAAAAGATATATGATTTGCAATGAATTTGATGCCCGTTTCTCTAACAAACAAGCCGAACGTATCACGGCAAATTTTAGCATTAAACTATGCAATATATATGCCAACATTTTTATTCAATACCGGTGCCCTTGGTTGCATCCATTGACGCCAACCATACTGTTCGCCGTACAGGGACTCGGCACCGCTCCGCTCATTGAGGGGACCAGCGGCCTGCCGCTGCCGCCACCGGCGATCTTTGGAGATGCTGGCCCGTCATCGGTAAGTATATTTAACCATGCTTTACATCATCATTTATTGAATTATCATTAATTTAATTCAATCCTATAATTTGTTTACTTTATGGGTTGCATCAACCCCCTGCGCTGGCGATGTTGAACTCTGCAACACATTTGCAATCATTTTTAATCAATACAGGTGCCTTAGATTGCTGATAGTAGACTCCGTTTCAATAGATCGGCTCACCGCATTTGTGTATCGCTGTGGAGCACATTAATGACGCCCGTTTGTTTATTATTCAGGGTTCCAGCACCTCTGCCGACGCATGCGTCTCGGCCGTCGCCGCCGTAGACCCCGGCGAGGGCACCAGTGGGCCGCCGGTGATCGCCGTTTCGAGGAGAGCTGACCCGTCATCGGTGAGTATACAGGGAAAGGAGAACATTTTACCGATGTCTTATGGAAACCGATCCATTTTGAATACATTTAATTTGATACGTACCACCAAAAATATATGATTTGCAATGCACTTGATGCCCGTTTCTCTGACAAACAAGCCGAACGTATTGCGGCAAATTTTAGCATTAAACTTTGCAATATATATGCCAACATTTTTATTCAATACCGGTGCCCTTGGTTGCATCCATTGACGCCAACCATACTGTGCGCCGTACAGGGACTCGGCACCGCTCCGCCCATTGAGGGGACCAGCGGCCTGCCGCCGCCGCCACCGGCGATCTTTGGAGATGCTGGCCCGTCATCGGTAAGTACATTTAACCATGCATTACATCATCATTTCTTGAATTCTCATTAATTTAATTCAATCCTATAATTTGTTTACTTTATGGGTTGCATCAACCCTCTGCGCCGGCGATGTTCAACTCTGCAACACATTTGCAATCATTTTTAATCAATACAGGTGCCTTAGATTGCCGATAGAAGACTCCGTTTCAATAGATTGGCTCACCGCATTTGTGTATCGCTGTGGAGCACATTAATGACGCCCATTTGTTCATTATTCAGGGTTCCAGCACCTCTGCCGACGCATGCGTCTCGGCCGTCGCCGCCGTAGACCCCGGCGAGGGCACCAGTGGGCCGCCGGTGATCGCCGTTTCTAGGAGAGCTGACCCGTCATCGGTGAGTATACAGGGAAAGGAGAATATTTTACCGATGTCTTATGGAAACCGATCCATTTTGAATACATTAAATTTAATGCGTACCACCAAAAAATATATGATTTGCAATGCATTTGATGCCCGTTTCTCTAACAAACAAGCCGAACGTATTGCGGCAAATTTTAGCATTAAACTTTGCAATATATATGCCAACATTTTTATTCAATACCGGTGCCCTTGGTTGCATCCATTGACGCCAACCATACTGTGCGCCGTACAGGGACTCGGCACCGCTCCGCCCATTGAGGGGACCAGCGGCCTGCCGCCGCCGCCACCGGCGATCTTTGGAGCTGCTGGCCCGTCATCGGTAAGTACATTTAACCATGCTTTACATCATCATTTATTGAATTATCATTAATTTAATTCAATCCTATAATTTGTTTACTTTATGGGTTGCATCAACCCCCTGCGCTGGCGATGTTGAACTCTGCAACACATTTGCAATCATTTTTAATCAATACAGGTGCCTTAGATTGCTGATAGTAGACTCCGTTTCAATAGATCGGCTCACCGCATTTGTGTATCGCTGTGGAGCACATTAATGACGCCCATTTGTTTATTATTCAGGGTTCCAGCACCTCTGCCGACGCATGCGTCTCGGCCGTCGCCGCCGTAGACCCCGGCGAGGGCACCAGTGGGCCGCCGGTGATCGCCGTTTCGAGGAGAGCTGACCCGTCATCGGTGAGTATACAGGGAAAGGAGAATATTTTACCGATGTCTTATGGAAACCGATCCATTTTGAATACATTTAATTTAATACGTACCACCAAAAAATATATGATTTGCAATGCACTTGATGCCCGTTTCTCTGACAAACAAGCCGAACGTATTGCGGCAAATTTTAGCATTAAAATTTGCAATATATATGCCAACATTTTTATTCAATACCGGTGCCCTTGGTTGCATCCATTGACGCCAACCATACTGTGCGCCGTACAGGGACTCGGCACCGCTCCGCCCATTGAGGGGACCAGCGGCCTGCCGCCGCCGCCACCGGCGATCTTTGGATCTGCTGGCCCGTCATCGGTAAGTACATTTAACCATGCATTACATCACCATTTATTGAATTGTCATTAATTTAATTCAATCCTTTAATTTGTTTACTTGATGGGTTGCATCAACCCCCTGCGCCGGCGATGTTCAACTCTGCAACACATTTGCAATCATTTTTAATCAATACAGGTGCCTTAGATTGCTGAAAGTAGACTCCGTTTCAATAGATCGGCTCACCGCGTTTGTGTATCGCTGTGGAGCACATTAATGACACCCATTTGTTTATTATTCAGGGTTCCAGCACCTCTGCCGACGCATGCGTCTCGGCCGCCGCCGCCGTAGACCCCGGCGAGGGCACCAGTGGGCCGCCGGTGATCGCCGTTTCGAGGAGAGCTGACCCGTCATCGGTGAGTATACAGGGAAAGGATAATATTTTACCGATGTCTTATGGAAACCGATCCATTTTGAATACATTAAATTTAATGCGTACCACCAAAAAATATATGATTTGCAATGCATTTGATGCCCGTTTCTCTAACAAACAAGCCGAACGTATTGCGGCAAATTTTAACATTAAACTATGCATTATATATGCCAACATTTTTATTCAATACCGGTGCCCTTGGTTGCATCCATTGACGCCAACCATACTGTGCGCCGTACAGGGACTCGGCACCGCTCCGCCCATTGAGGGGACCAGCGGCCTGCCGCCGCCGCCACCGGCGATCTTTGGATCTGCTGGCCCGTCATCGGTAAGTACATCTTATCATTTATGACAGCATCATTTATTTAATTATCAATAATTCAATCGAATCATTCAATTTGTTCAACATTCTTAGTCTATAAAGTCCGCCAGCAGTTTCTGGCAACGTACAGGGACCCAGCTGTTCCGTTACACAGAAATACATTGGTGATGTAAGGAGCATTTGTCTAACCTTCGCCCGAGGGGAGGGGGGGGGGTGTTGGAAACACTTGCCGGTTTTTTGCGTGGGTAAGTTTTTAGCGCCTCGAAACTTGGTACAGCTTATGATACATCAATTTCGCATCGTGTTCATAATTGTTGACCGCAGATCACATAAGATCAGGTCACCAGGTCAAGTTGAGGCCGCCCACACCTGACCTCGCATGCGGGTTGCGAGTTTTTGGGTTTTCGGGTTTCTTCAAAATCAAGTAATACAATCTAAGCTGAGTGACCCACACTACCATCTAACAAGCGAGCCTGCATGTTTTTAGCTTGCAAGCCACCTTGCATCGCATTCCAAAAGTTTGTTTAGTCAACTTTTGATTTTCCTCGCTGCGAGGTGTGCGAGTTCTGTGAGGTTTGCGGGTTTTTCGTTGGAGTCGAATTTTGGTTCGTTACTCTGGTATTGCGACTATATGTAATTTTCTGAAGGTGTACCGGCTTCACTGCATTCATGAAGTTACCATAAGGAAACGGTCTAATCACTCTATGAATTAGTATTATGCCCGCAAACTCAAAACCCGCAAACTCAAAACCCGCATGCGAGGTCCAGTGTGGGGCGGCCTTTAAGTGACCATGCCTCTAGAAAAATTGTGATTCATTCATTCCTATAGCTTACATCCCAGAAGCTTGGAACCCCGGCTATCGCATGAGGGAATCAGTACTATTGAAATGCTTTTCTTTTGGCCGAAAACACCATCAAAGATCGTGACAAAGGTGAACATTACGCACTGAACCGGAAAACTGCCTCTGTGACCCCTTTGGTGCCCCTAAGGTCATCTCCGGTCATGAAACGTCTCAAGCAGTTTTTGACAATAACTTTAGATAGGGACATGCTAGAGCGATGAAAACACCATAAATGTGTTTAACACAAGACGAATCGAATGTAATGCAACATGGCCTGATACGTGACCTTGACCTGAAGTCAAATTTTTAGGTCGACCTTTCAAGGTCAACTTATAGTTCATTTGACGCGTGTCGACGAGACAACCGCGATGCCAGTAAAATCAGTGTAATACAAGCTCGGAGTGGACAGTTATTACAGAGAAACTTTCCGCAAAAACGTTCAATTTTGAGTTTTTAGCCTCTGGAGGCTAAACCATTGAGCTTAGGTCATATCTGAGAATAATGTTCGGAAAGGTCTTTCAAAGAGCTATCGAATGCGCGTTTCGGCAGCGCTGTAGCTTTATTAGTTCCTTACTCATGCCCCGCTTTGATTGGTGAAAAGTTGTCAAAATCGGGACAAAATGTCGCGATATTTTTATCTTTGGTAACCTTCAGCGGCCTCTGCGATGACCTGAGCGAAAATGACTTTTAAAATTCCAAAAATATCTTATAGCGGCTATCCATTGCTTTTTACCGCGTTCTTCTAGCTTGCTTACTTTCCGAGATAACGTGTTGTGGCCAAAAAGCCCCCCCCCCCCGACCATGGCGAAGTTGGCTGCGAGGCCCACCCGGGCGTGAGTTAATGTTTATGCATTACAGTTGTTTTCTTTGCGCCTTTTCAGGGCGCTAATCGAGGCCTTCCCTCGGCAAAGCGTACGAGAGACTATTCCGGGGACGCTGCGCGGAAAAGAGTGGCTCGAGCAGCTGAGACCGCGGAAGAGCGCGTGCAGCGAATTGAGCAGCAGGCCGCCCGCCAAGCCGCCGCCCGAGACCGAGAGACGACTGCTGAGCGCCAGCAGCGACTCGCAGAGGACACCGCCCGTCACGCCGTGGCCCGAGATCGAGAGACGACTCCTGAGCGCCAGCAGCGACTCGCAGAGGACGCCGCCCGTCACGCCGTGGCCCGAGACCGAGAAACGACTCCTGAGCGCCAGCAGCGACTCGCAGACGACGCCGCCCGTCACGCCGTGGCCCGAGACCGAGAAACGACTCCTGAGCGCCAGCAGCGACTCGCAGAGGACGCCGCCCGTCACGCCGCTGATCGGCAGCGGGAGGACCGCGCCGCGTTCCTGGCAGCAGACGCCGAGCGGCACCGCCTGCAGCGGGAGGAGCTCCGCCGCCGCGCGCCACACAAGCTGGCGCTCATCTACAGCCGCGAGGCGTACGTGGCGCCACCTCGCCTGCAGCTGGGCCAGATGGAGGTCGTTTGTGCCCACTGCGGCGCGCTCCGCTGGCGTCAGGAGTCGCCCGGCGCCTGCTGTCACTCCGGCAAGGTGGCTCCACCCTTCCACCCACCACCGCCTGAGGTGCTGTGTCAGCTCTTCTCGCCAGAGTCGCCACACCATCGGCACTTCACACAGCATCTCAGAGCGTTTAATAGCGCCTTCCAGCTGGCTAGCATGGGCTGCCAGCAGGTGCGACAGCCAGGCTGGAACCCCGTGTTCACGGTGCACGGCACCGTGTGCCACCGTATCGGGAGCCTGCTGCCGGCGGAGGGCGCTCAGCCGGAGTACCTACAGATTTACTTTTACAACAGGGAGCTGGAAGCACGGATGGACCTGTACGAGAATCTACACCCAGAAGTGCTCCAGCAGCTGCAGGAGATGCTGCACGACAACAACATCTACGTGCGCGGGCTTCGCTCGGCTCTTGAGCTGGTGCGCCGAGAGGACCAACCCCTCAGAATCGTTCTGAGCGCACAGCGTCGGCCCGCCACGGAGCACGAGCGCCGCTTCAACTTGCCAGAGACCGGCGAGGTGGCGGTCTTGATGCCCGAGGAGCCGCATGGCGTCCGGGACATCGTCCTGCACCACCGAGACGGCGGTGTGGAACGGATTAACGAATACCACCGCAGCTACGACCCCCTGCACTACGTGCTGTTACACCCTCACGGCACCGACGGCTGGTCCCTAGAAATGAAGCACGCCATGAACATAACAGCAACAGAGTACTACGCGTTCCATCTGCGCTATCGTCCAGGCCATTTCAATTTGATCGCCAGAGGCCAGTCACTCTTTCAGCAGCTACTGGTGGACGCCTTCGCGAAAATCGAATCGGACCGCCTCTGCTACCTGCGCCAACACCAGCCGGCACTGAGGACAGAGACGCTGCGCGGCCTGACGGACGCCATTCATGCCGGTGACGAGCACGGCGCTGATGTCGGACGCATCGTGCTGCCGGCATCCTTTACCGGCAGCGCCCGCTACATGGTCGCCAAGCTCAACGATGCCATGGCGTACGTTCGCGAGTTTGGAGGTGGTGACCTATTCATCACGGTCACGTGCAATCCAATGTGGGCGGAAATTAAGGACACCCTGCGACGCCTGTACCCGGGACAGCAGCCTTCTGACCATCCAGAGGTGGTGTCACAAGTTTTTCGCCAGAAGCTGCGCGGCCTCCTGCACCTGCTCCGAGACGGCGCGGTCTTCGGTCAGGTCCGTGCCTTCATCAGCTGCATCGAGTGGCAGAAGCGCGGCCTCCCTCATGCCCATATCGTCCTGTGGTTGGAGCCAGACGACAAGCCTCGGCCTGACACCGTCGACCTGTTCGTCTCGGCCGAGATCCCGGACCCGATAACAGAGCCAGAGCTCCATGCTGTCGTCACCAGCAAGATGGTGCACGGCCCGTGCGGTGCCCACCGGCCAGCGGCCCCGTGCATGGCTGATGGCGCCTGCACAAAGCGATACCCGAAGCAGTTCGCCGCTGTCACCGAGGTGAACGACACGGGGTACCCGCAGTACCGCCGCCGCAGCCCGCTGGACGGCGGGCGCACCGTGCAGCTGGCCGGCCGACCCGGTGGTCCTATCACTGTGGACAACCGCTGGATTGTGCCATACAATCCCCTACTCAGCCGCGCACTGCAGTGCCATGTCAATGTGGAGCTCATCACCCATGCCTTCACCTGCATTCGTTACGTCCTGAAGTACGTGACGAAGGGAAGCGACCAGGTCATGTTCGCAGTGGCACCAGGTGAGCCGGCGGTGGTCGACGAGATAGCGACCTTTCAGCAGGGCCGCTATCTGAGCGCCATGGAGGCCGCCTGGCGCCTGCTCCAGTACCCAATCCACGAGCACCTGCCCACAGTAGAAGCGCTGCCGGTCCACCTTGGCGGTCAAGACCGATTGGTAAGGTTCCACGCCGACGACCAGCTACGGCAAGTGATTGACAGGCAGGAGCAGTCTAAGCTCACCAGCTTCTTTAACATCTGCGCAGAGGACGAGTTCGCCGCTACTCTGCTCTATCATGAAGTCCCCAGGTACTTTACATGGCAGACGGCGACAAAAAGCTGGAGGCGGCGGCGGCGGGGAGCACCACATCCAAACGTGCCGGGGATATTCTCCGCACGGGCTCTCGGCCGTGTTTACGCGGTGAGCCCACGCGCCGGGGAACGCTTCTTCCTGCGCCTTCTCCTGCACAACGTGCGGGGGCCGCGCTCATTTGAGGCGCTCCGCACTGTCAACGGTCAAGTGCGTGACACCTTTCAGGAGGCCTGCTCGGTGCTCGGTCTGCTGGAGGACGGCCAGCACTGGCATCGGGCCATGGCGGAGGCAGCCGAAATCACCTTCCCCCGGCAGCTGAGGTGCCTCTTCGCACTCATCACCATCGAGGGCCGCGCCAGCTGCGATATTCAGCTGCTGTGGCGCAACTTCCGCACAGCCATGTCGCAGGACGTGCGGCGGCGCCTTCAGCGGCTCGGCCGGCTGGAACATGACGCCGATCTCGACGACGATGACCCCATGGACGGCGGTGGTGACGACGCACAACACCCCGTCTTCTCCGAGACACTGCGGCTGATCGGCCGCCAGCTCCGGCGCATCAGTGGCCTGGCCCTGTCCGATGTCGGTCTGCCACAGCCGCCGGACGCGCCTGCCCAGGCCCCCGAAGAAGAGGACAACCAGCCGATCGACCATCACCAGCGACTGGTGGACGAGCGTGTGCCTCTACTCACACAAGATCAGCGGGACGTCTACGACGAAGTCACGCGCCGTCTGGCCACCGGCGAGGGCGGGCTGCTGTTCCTACAGGCACCTGGTGGTGAGTACAGTCGCACTTCATATTCGAGTCAATGGCTAATGCATTAGGACTAATGTGCGAAGAAAACAGTCTTTTTTTCTGGAAAAAACATGGTCATAGGCTATGTAGATATTATGTTTCAATATATGTGAGAAATTACGTTTAAAAGTTAGATATGCCGACCAATCATTAATATAATCAGCTGAAGGTATTTATAAAAAAACCGTTCTGCCACCTCTGATGATATAGCAAATTTTGGCCATGTACCATATGGCATATGTATCGTCCCAAACCTAATAAGTTACGACAACTTTTCGTAGTTAATTTATAAAACGCATAACATACATGTTTTCTTCCGACAGGATGCGGTAAAACGTTCCTAGAGAATGTTTTGCTGGCATCTGTGCGTGCCGCCGCCGGAGAGGCCATAGCCGTGGCTACGTCTGGCATAGCAGCCAGTCTGCTGGATGGAGGGACGACCGCCCACTCGAGGTTTAAGATCCCCATCTCGCTAACGGACACCTCCACGTGTGACCTAAGTAGGAGAGGAGAAGCGGCCGATACCATCCGCCGATGCCTCCTGCTGGTGTGGGACGAGGCAGGCATGGCCCACAGGCGTGCCATAGAGGCCGTGGACCGGACGCTGAGGGACTTAAGGGACACCGACCGGCCGTTCGGCGGTCTGCTGACTCTGTTTGCCGGTGATTGGCAACAGATCCTGCCGGTCGTGAAGGGTGGTGCGCGGCATCAGGTTGTCGGTGCCTGCCTCAAAGCATCCCCGCTGTGGCAGTATGTGACATGCCTCACGCTGCGTACAAACATGCGCGTGCAGCTACAGGGTGACCTCGAGGCCGGCGAGTATGCCACCTTCCTGTCGCAGCTCGGTTCCGGCCGGCTTCCTCTATGCCCTGGCACACTCGACAGCGTGACGGTTCCGCCAACGGTGCTCAGCCCGGCGCGATCACTCGCCGAGCTGGCCGAGCGCATCTACCCCGATCTGGCCCAAAATTGTCAAAATCTTGAGTGGCTCGAAGAGCGCACTATTCTGACAGTCCTCAATTCGGATGCTAAAATCATCAACGACCACGTCATGGAGAGCATGCCAGGGCAAGAGAAGGTGTACGACAGCGTCGACACCATGACCGACACAAACGCCGTGCCATTAACAGCGGAGGTACTGAATAAGATAGAAATTTCCGGCCTACCACCTCACAAAATTCGCCTGAAAGCCGGCGCACCGGTTCTTCTCATGCGCAACTTGGACGCACCGCGCGCTGTTAACGGTACACTGTGCGTGGTCAAAACCCTGGGTGACAACGTCCTCGAGCTGAGCGTGCTGACCGGCCCTGCTCGGGGTGAGAGTGTGTTCGTTCCGCGCATCCCACTCGAATCTTCGTCTGACTCTGGCCTGGGGTTTTCATTCCGGAGGCTACAGTTCCCTTTGAGTGTAGCCTTCGGAATGACTATCAACCGGAGCCAGGGTCAGACAAAGAAGCGAGTTGGCGTGTACCTGCCCTCGCCAGTCTTTACTCACGGCCAGTTGTATGTGGCGATGTCGAGAGTGGGCGCCGCTGCCGGCGTGGAGGTGTTTGTAGCGGGCACCTCCACCCGCAATGTCGTGTACCAAGAGGTCTTGGAGTAGTGAGTGGTATCCCTGACACGGCAGTAGTTCAGAGAGCAGGGCGCACGTCTCATATACGTCACACCCATCTATTATGGGTCTGGTATGTTGATTGTCTGCTGCTGTGTGTGTCATTAAAATAAGGTATTGGGTGCTAGATGCCGCCAGAGTATACTGTGCCTTCTTTTGTGCAGTTAGGCGGTCATGGTGGAGGTCTTATATGAGTCACACTCCTGTGTTACGGGCCTGTTGTGTGTTTGCCCATGTGAGTGGTGTGTGTGTGTCTGCTGCGTCGAAACGAACGCTGCACTGAACGAGATCATTGTGATACATTGTCTGTTTTTTTTCTGCAAGCGAGTGTGTGCATGCGCGTGTGCGTGTGCATTGTGTGTGTATTCATTAATCTGAATTTGTCTTCAGGCAGTGTTGATTGTGGGCGAAATTTGAACCAAAATTAACTTAATATATTGACTTTTGTCTATATTGGTTTATCATAATATCATAGTGAAATAATATCATAAAGTCTTGGTCTGACTCAGTGTAGCCCTGTGAGCAGGCTTGACTGGGGGTAGCCCATGTGACCAGTCTGATCCGATGTCACCCAAATTTAACCCAACAAAGCTCTTTAGCCAAAATTTTCCTAGGAGCGTTTCCGATTATAGGTATCTCCGCTTCCAGCTAACCCATCAATATGAATCAAATATCTTTCGAAAACAAATTTATCTCCGACGCGAAGCAAGCGCATCCCTTACAAGATATTATCCCTTGCATAAGACTTATTCCTGCTTGCCACTATATTGCAGTCTTTTCTACACCAACATACTATACCTATAGGTCAGGTTATGTCCAGTCGGGTCAGGTTGGGTTGGGTTAGTTTGGTTAGTTTAGGTTCGGTTAGTTTGGGCTAGGTAAGGGTAGTGATGCTGCGACCCAATGTGACACGCGATATGGTCGTGACACGTCACCTGGCCCAGCAACCATTGACCTGGCTTGACCCATCGTGACCTAATTGACCTGTTTATTAATAATTAATAATTAACGTAATTAATATAATTAACGTAATGTAAGTGACCTGGTCTGACCTATCGTGACCTGAGCTCACCCCTGTGACATGACCTGACCTATCGCGACCTGAGGGGATCCCAGTGACCTGTCATGACCAAAGGTGACCTGAGGTGACTAAAACTGACCTAGCATGACCCACTGTGACCCATGTGACCTGAAATGTCCCATTTATTTGAATTTTATCCATTTGGACCCCATCATTCACCTTTTCGCGTACATCAAGGCTTCTTGAAATCACTATTACACAAAACCTTTGCTACTCGAACTGGACAATTATGCGCAAACCATATCCTCGCGACGCGAAGCAAGCGGCTTGCCGCTTGTCTATCTTACTATTTGAACAGGATCCATCTGTCTGTTTGTTTGTCTGTCCGCCACGACGTGTAGTGGGTTCAATTTAGCCGGCCTACAGGGCAGACGGTATATCGTAGGGGGTTGAAATTTGCACACCTTATAGGTGACAGAGCGGGTCAGCGCCTTTTCTAGGTTTCGGCTCGCTGGGGTGCACGGTTGGCACGTGGCGCGCGCCGGAAGAACGCCTATGAAATTTTGATTGGTTCTTATATCTTCATTGAGAGCCGGGGTCGACAAACTTTGTGGACTAAATGCATGCCGATCGGTGGCGGGTGCCTCGCATTGGCGGATGGGCAAGTTTTTAATTTGAATAAAAAGTGGCGAGAGAATGTGTTGATTTTCTTTCAATGGGAGCAGTTTGTGATACAAGTATAAAAACGCACCGCGTTTGCCGCAATGCGTCACATTGGTCACAAGGCGCCATTTTTGCCGCAAATCGCACAGTTTTGTCAAATATGGCCCGATAAGGGTACAATTTGGTGCCAGGATGCATGCTCAACCAACAGGTGCAGATGCGCCACATTTGCCGCAATGCGCCACATTTGCCACAAAGCGCCATTTCCGACAAAATCGAGTAAGGGTAATGGAATGGCACGAATAGGGGCAGGGCTGAGAACACTTTAGGTCTGATATTTTAGTACTGATTGGATCCAATTATTCTGTGACCTGACATGACCCAGCGGTGTTGGTAGGGGTAGGGTAGTGGTAGGGGTAGTGGTAGGGGTAGTGTAGTGGTAGTGGTAGGGGTAGGGGTAGTGGTAGGAGTAGTAGTAGGGGTAAGGGTAGTGGTAGGAGTAGTAGTAGGGGTAGGGGTAGTGGTAGGGGTAGTAGTAGGGGTAGTAGTAGGGGTAGTGGTAGGGGTAGTGGTAGGGGTAGTGGTAGGGGTAGGAGTATGGGTAGTAGTAGTGGTAGGGGTAGGGGTAGATGTAGTGGTAGTGGTAGGGGTAGTGGTAGGGGTAGTGGTAGGGGTAGGGGTAGGGGTAGTGGTAGGGGTAGGGGTAGTGGTGGAGGCAAAAGCAGAACAGTGGCCCGGGCTGATCCCAGCGGACGAGAGGTGACCTATGTGACCTGGCCTGACCCAAAGTGACCGGGGCTGACCCCTTTGACCCGTCTTGACCCCATATCACCCAAATTTCATCCAACAACGCCCTCAGAACAGCTCTTTATAAATTCTCTTCACATTTCCGTCCATATCTATGCTTCTAGAGGACACATCGACATGAATCAAACACCATTCAAAAGCAAATTGGCTGGTGCTGCAATTTTTTCCTACCACGCAGCAAAGCAAGTGGCGCAGCCGCTTGTCTATATTACTATTTGAGGAGGGTGCGTCTGTCCGTTACCGAGGTCCCGACTTGGTGGTGCTTTGCGTGGACTGCAGGCCAGACCGTTGCACCTAGCCCAGTGAAATTTGCACAACTCATAGATCAAGGATGCGCGACGTGCCTTTGAGGGGTCTCAGCTCGATCGGGTCGATAGGGAGCGCGTGGTGCGTGCTCAAAAAGTGCAAATTCGCGTCATAGACTTTACATGTATAAATCGGCGTGCGAAATCGGGCGAAAATGGCTAATTTTGGCCGACACGGGTCCAGTTCCCGTGCAATATCTTGGTGACCAGGGATCCGACCGGCACGGGGAAAACAGCATCGTGTACGGAATTGAACGGGCTATTGAATGGTGTGCAATGCAGAGGATAGCACGCGCCACGTGCACCGGAGAGGGCACTTTTATTTGAAAAATTGCGGTTTTTGAGGGATTTTGGAATTAATTTTATTTTTAGGTGACCGTTAAATGGAGCGAGTTGAATCAACGCCTATTTGCAAGAGAAAGGTACCGCCTCTCATATAAAAATTATGAAAAGCTGATTGATCCAAATCAAGGTGGTGCAAATCACAGGAGAAAATGGTGTTTGTCAATTTTGTGCCACTTTATTAATCACACGGGGTTTGCTGTATAACCTGATACCTTTGGCAATTGAATATGGTACCATTGGATAGAGCATTCAATTCTGTCCAATATTCACTCTTCATTTTTGCATAATTAGCAACAGTATCCTTAAAAATGTAAATGTTCCAAACCATTACATTGTCATTTTTAGCGAAATTCATCGATGGCCCTCAAAAGACTTCACGCCAGTTTTCGAATCATTCTAAAGTAGAACGCATGATAATACGACACGGGCACCTCGATGCGATGTATCTTTTTGTTTTCTTACAAAATGCTTGGCCGTCAAAAAGCAATCGAACGAAATGGATATTCACCAACCAAATCGACACAGACCAACCCACGGGTCAAAAAATCCCCCCTTAGCGTTGCGGAGCACGCGGGTAACCCTAGTGATTACTAAGCTACTTAAGTGCTTTGTTAATGCTCGAGACATGATTAAGTACAGATCCTGCAGGGTACAGCTATGAGTTAGGTGCTAGGTGAGTATGCTATGTGAATGTGCTGTTCCCTGTTTGACCATAGTAAGTATACAAACAAGCACAGGGTCACAGTTATATTCAATCTCCACATAAACATACAACAAAAACGGCCATATAGCCTCACCCCGAACACACCACAAAGAACTTAAGCCTTTGCAGGCACAAAAATGCTTTGATTTACAGGACAGGTATACAATATATCCTCTGTTCTTGGGGATCTGGCTGCCAAGTTGAGGTACAATGACTGAACTTCAGGATTGATCAACCTTCTCTTCTTAGCCACACTGCTTATATACGAGAAAGACCAAATGCTTGTTTGTAAACTGCCTTGAAAATTTAATGATCTACCTTCAATTCAGACATGAAGGCACAAATAAAATAGTTCCCTCTCCTTTTGGAATACACAAAGCAAAATATTTAATAACTTCTAGTGGATGGACAAGAGCAATTAGCATAGCCTCCCCACAAGTTAACTTCTGACACTCTTGCTGACACTGATGGATTACACAGTGTCTGTGTATGAATTACACTGGCGCTTATTCGCTTCATATTTTGTAACAAACGCGCTAAAACTGCAATATAACAGCACTCAGCACTATATGCTTCTTGACAAAATGCAAAAGTAGTAAACATTTAGCCCTGATGGCATTCATTCTTCATGGAAACGTAATTACAAAATATTTTGTAGTAACTATTAAATTCCGGCCGAAAACAGTGCGCGGTTTAAAAAAGAATCATTCCAATGACGGTCCATTCTTGCGGTCCTGAAATCGCCACTATTTCCGGCCTCTCCAACGCAACTCGTTGTCCAGACGTAAATATGCATGCGTACCGGTGCATTACGGAAACATTTAACCCGCGCACCGACGGGGGGGCGGATATCCGCCCCCCTGAGGTTTTTCGCGAATAGCGGGAAAACCGCGGCGCGTAGCGCCGCGAAATTTGGTATGACTATACCTTTATCAATTTTACACATGGTGTGCAAGTTTGAACCTCCTACCTTTTAAGGTCAGGTCACCAGGTCACTTTGAATGACCCAACCTCAAGTCACTTTTTTGCAACTTTGTTACCGTGCCAGAGCTACAGTAGATGTCGGAGGCCTTTGAAAGTCGCAGAATATTATTAGGTCATTAGTAGCTACAATTTGTATATCTCGGAATTTTGATATCGGTGACCTAACGTCAGGTCAATTTCGCGACCTCCCCATTATAAGTCAATGGGGGAAAAATCAACTCCCTGTTTTTACCACTAAAACGGGTCGGAATGGCCCCATATACCATACATGACTTCATATACGATCAACCTTCACTACCTTGAGGTCTGTTTTGCTGTTGGGCAGCTGTGAGGTCATGTGACGTCATCAAAGGTCACCAAAGGTTTTTGGCCAATAACTCCGTACTGGAATAAGATACAGACGCGTGGATGGTCTCATTGTGTTCAGCTCGTCAAGACGCATCGAATGATAAACATGATGACCTCGAGGTCACG